AGGCGAAGGACTGGATGATAGTCTCGCGATGAGCTGCAGCTGTGACACTGCGCGTTCTCGCGGTAGTTGGATTGCCAATCTCTCATCGCCCGGCGACTTGTTAAAAGCCAGGAGCTGCTGTCTCCAGCTCTGAAAAGTTACTCTATGCACCATCACCTCACAGCTTATTTGAAGCTTATCTTGTTTTCTTGAGGAATATCAAAGAATAATAAATAGTTTGATAGCGTTATTCCCACTATCTCACATATGACGTTTTAGAGGGCCCAAACCAGTTTTAAACGAGAGCCTGCAGGCAAGCACGCGTGAATAATTAAAACAGGAATCATCTTAATGAATAAGTAAATGGCTGACTGTAACAGGATGCCAAGTGATACTTCCTGGCAGTGTTTCACAGATAATGAGGTGACAGGAGGGGACAAAAGCATAGACTGAATCCATGTTGCAGTTGGTTTACCTTTGAGCCTTATTTTATTTATTAAAAAAATTCAAATATTTCTATCGCTTTTTGGCACCTATGCTATTTAATGAGATTGCTTCATGCATGTGAGTCCAAACCACTGCAGACTCACTTCCCTCATAGTTATAAGATGTTTTTCTTCTTTTCTGTAGCCATCTCTTTAAAATAAAAAAAGGTTCTGAATGAAGTTAAATAAAACCAAACCTGGGGTCGATGCCTTCTCGCTTTCTTGTTTTCTGCCATGCACTTTTGCATTGTACACTTGCAAACTGCACTGGACTTTGAAATTAAAGGACATTTAAAAAAAAAGAAAGAAGCCGCCTAAAGAAGCCAATGTGAACAAATGACACTCCTTCAAACCGGCCCTGCAGCCATAGGTGAGTCCAACATTTGCCTCATTCCTCCTCCGTGCTGTGTGCCAGTCAGTGGTCCAGTAATAGATGTGTTTATCAATTCAGCGGTGGAGGCAGCGAGGAATAAAGAGGGGAGCAGATGTTTGCAGCTGCAGACCAGATTACGGGGTGGAGTGGATGGTGGGGTGAGCATGCAGGAGTTTGTGTGCGCGGGGAGTTTGGAGAGGGTTACAGGGGGGTTAAAGCGGGCCCGGGTGGTGGCAGGAGAGGTAGGGTGGGGAGTTATGACTTAAGGGAGCCTTTCCTCTGAAGTGTCTGCCAGCGTGCACCCCAGCAAACACAATCACAAGTCTCGTTGGTTCTGCTAGCTGAACTAATGAGGGCCTGCACGTTGAGGGCAGGGGCTTTGATGTTCTGGGTAGCTGGCTCCTTGTGTTTGCTCTCCCGCTCTCCTCTGCCTGTCCCACATCAAAAATGAAAGGGGAGTTGAGAAGCAGATGTTTCGAGGCATATATTTATACAGAGTACACTTTATTCACCCCGTTCGCCACACTCGATTTGTCCTTTGCTTGTGCATCTCTGCCGTATGTGCAGCAAAGATCTATCTCGCTATCTTCATATCCAACTAAACACGCTAAATCGCCTTATTTATACATATAATCATGCTGTCAGTCAAAGTGGGTAACTTTTATCTCTCCTTACTTCCTCTCTCTCTGCCTGCCTCTCTTTAATTTCAGCCCAGTCTGGATGTCATTACTGCAGGGGGGGTGGGGGCAGTCAATGTGTTGCTATGTATGTGTCTCTGTCTGCAATGATGAAGGGGCGAAGTAAGTAAGAGAAACAGAGCAAGAGAGAGAAAGCAATCCCAGGCTGTCCACCAACCTCTGTCTCACACATGGTTAGAAACAGTGACAGGAAATTCCCTTTCGCAGCAGCTCCAGGGTGAAATGATAAAGGAATGAAGAGATCCAAACCAGAAATCCAGGCCCTTATCATTCCATGACTCTTCACTGTCTCCTTTTTTTTTTCTTTTACTCCTTCTCTAAATACCAAAAAAGATCAAGTGCTCAATTCAGCCACTGGCGCTGTCATTCCTTCGGAGTTCAGGGATATTTACCAAAGTCCATGCAAACAGGACTTAATTGGCATTAAATCCTATGTGGCAAAAAAAAGCTTTTCCCAGCAGGCCAAGCATGGAGACGGTTTGGATTATCTAAGATATCGAGGAATGCTGCTATCATAAATCGAGTCAAGTGGCGACAGGAGCGTTTTGCTAAATCTACAGTTCATTTGTGCACAACAACGTGCATGTTTTTGATTGAGCGTCGGGTGCCAGCGTTCCTACATGTCTCGGTACGTAAACCAACCCATGCAAGCATTTATGTGCATGTGTTTATATTTGTGTAGTCTGTCTCCCAGGTAACAGGGATACAGCGTCCCCGAAGCACGTGGTTCAACAAGTCCCTTCCTTGGCTATGAACTCTGGACAGATGATCCCCTTAGATGCTCGCACAGCAAAGACTGGTATAATCACCCCCATTCTCTGCTCTCTTGATGCTTCTCTCCAGTAATAAAAGTCATACTTTAAGGAAACAATATCCTGCAGCCATAAAAAGTCCTTCTCTCAGCATGGAGTGGCCATAAAAAAGGCTCTCACCTCCCAAATCTGTAGTGCACAGAGCCTACCCCCCATTTACACAGCAACAGACGCACACGCATTTAAACGCACGCACACCCTTCAGCGTCATTTCAGGACTAAAGTAGGTCCATCTCTCACTTTGACATGTAGTACATGTGGGAAGAATCTAAGGAGTGCTCAGACTGATGAAACGGACAAAAGCAAGCACGAAATATCGAGAGCCCAGTCACAATTTCATAGGAAGGTGACACAAATCACAGTACAGTCATACCCAAGAGAGAGCATTTTTGCTGCCACAATAATGATACAGAGTCATAAAAAACATGACCACTAGCAACCATTCTCATAAAGTGGTTACTATTGTTACCATTATATAAATATATAAATCGGAATCGTTAGTCGTACAATCTGAGATGCACGATCTGATATCCTCGTGTTGGTGTTGTTCCCAGATCATCATACTAAAGGTTGTTCCAGGATCAACATTGCAAGTGACCAATCAGAATGTTGTGATGTCATACTTTTGCGACTTCGGGAAAAACCGGCGTAAAACAAAAAACTGTACTTAAGCTGTGAGAAACCGCCTTTGTCCGCCGATCAACGGACCCTGACCCTTTAATAAACGCTAAGCAGAATTGATATTGTCCTTGCAACATTGGAATTTCATAAATGCACAAATGGGTTGGTGCGCAAAAGAATAACGTCACAATAATGTGATTGGTCACTTGCAATGTTGATCCTGGAACAACATTTTCATGATGATCTGGGAACAACACCAACACGACGATATCAGATCATCCTCTAGAGATTTGAGGGATCTTCCAAATCGGATGTTGCTTCCAGTTTCCCATCTTGAGTTTTACAAGTGTACAAATGAGCATCTGAAAGTTCTGCATGTGAGAAAGCGCTGTGTCAAATTCCTTCAAAAAAAAAACCAATTGTCTTCTTTGATCAGTAAAGAGAGATTGTGAGACAAGTTCCCAAATTAGTACTTTTCAGAGTCACACATGAGGATTATTTTGGTGCAAATGGAGAAAGAAAATGAGACTGTTCTGTCTGCACACTGCTTCACCATGCTGACCACATGGCCACCATCAATCTGTCATTCACTGAAAAAAGACAGGCTCTAGTACAATATTAATGTGAATAATAATACATTTACAATTATAGACATACACATTCAAATAAACTGTTACTGTACAATAAGATGAGTCAGCTTGTAGACACTGAAGCTCCTCTGCTGTTGCTGTTCTTTCTTTTTCTTTGTGGGTCTCAAACGATGAAGTATGGGCCATTTTCATGGCTGAAAGGCCAGCGTCTAAACAGACCATGGGAAGACAAATGACATGAGTCACCTCTTCAATCTCTGACTTGGCATTTCGAGAATAACAGCGTCTACAAAAAGAAAATAGATCCCAGATGATGGACTTAAAAAAAGAGGGTGGGTGGGGGGGGTAAACAGGATCTCTGGGAGAGTTGCACAAGGAGCAAAAACAAAAGCTCGAACAACATGAGTGGGCGAAGGGATGGGCTCGCCGTCTTGAGTCCTGGATGAGTAAAAGCCGCTCGAGCTGAGGGGGGAACAGACTGACGTCTACTTGCACACGTTGACCCACTCTGTGTGACGACACTCCTCGCACAGCACGTAACAACACCAGTGAAATCTGCAATTGCAGCGCTCGCTGCGTGTCTGTTTCAGGATGTTGTGTCCACGGCCGCAGCACAGCGAGCTGCAGCTGTCTGTGCTGTAGCTCGTTTTGTTGCAGATGCGTCCGTGCGTTCCCGGAGAGTCTATGGACGCGTCGTGCTCACAAAAGTCAGGAGACTTCTCAAAGTACACCAGCTCTCTGGACATGATTCGACGACGTGCTCCGCCGAGACCCCCTTGGGTTCCGCTGGCGCCGTTTTCTGTCCGAGGGTTGAAAACCCCATTGTTCTTGTTCTGAGAGTTGACAAAAATGGCTGTCAGGAACTTTTCTTTGAGTATGGAGCCCACAAGACGGAACTCTGGAGATACGTGCCAGCAGGTCTTGAACTGGCAGCTCCCTGATGTGCCGTGACATTTGCATTTCCTTGTCATGTTGTCAGTCACTATCTGTGTAAAGAATAACACTGTAAGCAAACTCCAACAACAACCAAAATGATCATGAGTGAGTGCTGAAGGTCGGAGGGGCAACAGCTGAAAAGCCCAATATTCACCTGTCGTCCCACACGGTTGTTATGTATCCTCATGCGGGCGTGGATATCTCTTGGAGACCCCCGGGAGTCGAGCCAGTCCCTGGAGAAGCGATCCCCGAAACGGATGTCATGACTGCACCCCCCCCACTCCCAGGTGTCTTGCATAGAGCTCAGCTCATCCGGTAAGGGCTTGAGAAGGGCTGAGGGGTGGGCTGAGCGCAGGTTAGTGGGCAGGCTGCCATGATGACCATTCAGCTCTGAGGGTAATGACCGTGTTAAGTCGATGCCTGCCCCACCCTTCTGAAGCGTCTGCAGCTGCAGCTGTGTGAGTTTCAGCCGGATCTTGTCATCGTCCTGGCGACGCTTGGCCTCGCAGCCACACCCCCGCAACTTGCCCATGCTGCAAGCCGAGGCCACAGAGTGAGCCACGCCCGCCGCCAGCAGGGCCAGAGAGAAGGCGCTCTCCCGAAAACCTAGGAGCAAGAGGAACACACTCAGAGAGGTTGAAACCGTAAAGACTGCAGCTCTAAAAACGTCATTTACCTGTGTGCAGCACAATCTGTATTCTCATACCTGCACTTTTCTACCATAAAGCCCAGGATCACATACTGACTATCATTAGCCTGCCTCAGACTCTCACCCCTGTTGAGGATGGAGTTGTGGTGCGGCAGCTTGCCAAAGCCCTCCAGCGAGGAGCAGTTCCAGCGCTGGTCCCGGAGTTGGTGCTGGCATTCATGGATGGCCACTTGGATCCCCTGCAGAGCAGATGCTGTCACATCAGGGTTCCTCACACACATCCGCATCTGACGTTTACTGAGGCCTGCCAGCCTGAGGCACACAGAGTTAGGGGTTAGCACTGGATCTCCTGCCACCTTCAGGCTGAGGATATCATTACACAGCACCCTGCAGGGAGAGTGGGAGAAAGAGTGGGGGAGTGAGATGGTGTGTGTGTGTGTGTGTGGGGAGGGGGGGTCATCGGAGGTGGTCAACAGTTCATTAGTCAAGCCCAGAGGAATATGAGGCAATGGGAGGGGGTTCAGTACACTTAAGAAAAATACAAACCCAATAAATAATTAAGAGAGATGTGATATGATTGATTCTTTATGGGAAATACACCTACCAATAAAATGCGTCCAAAAGTATTTGCTGCACTGTTTCTGCTCCAGTGTCAGTTGGTTAAAGGAGGGAAAATATAATTCTAAACAGATTATCCAGCTGAGAAATATCAAAAACAGATTTAATGGCCAAATGCATCTTATAAAGAAATAACGAGATTGAAAGTGAAATCACTTTGGAATTATTTTACACGTTTAAAGCTAAACCACTCAATTAACACTTGCACTTTTTTTTAAATTTAACTTTACACGAAACCAGACTTCGACATACAATGACTAATAATTAGTTTTTAATGTTTTTTTTTTTAAAAAAAATAGCTAAATTATTCATTTGAATAGTAACCTATGCAAAGAACTTCCCGCAACTCTGCCGAATCTCGTGCAGCCACAGTCTGCAACTCTCCTGGCTCTCTCAAGTGCACTTACGTGATTGCAGGTGACATAAGTGCTGCTGCCAAAATCAGGAATTGGTCCCAACGGAGTTTGTTTGGTAGCTCCATTTTGTTGTGCGTCTTTCGCGACGTGACATTAAAACACTGGTGGTGATGGTCCGCGTCGAATAAGAAAATCGAAAGGACGATGTCTGCAGTATTATCGATGCACCGCCAAACGACCGAGGAGTGAAGACGGAGAACAGAGGAGGTCGGAGGAGAGAATAAAGTGGAGGAGGAGGTGGGAGGAGGGGGGTGAAAGAAAGAGGGGAGGGGAGTAGATGCCTCTACAGGCGGCTGTTTGCAAAATATTGGCCAGGATGAGAACTGGATCACCAGTTGATACTTTAATTATTCGATAACGGGATCATTCACCCGAGCGTAAAATGACGTCTCCAACATTTTACGCACAAGCTCTTTACAAGCTTTTCGGGACAGCGATTTCGAATTAAGCAGGTATTTAGAAATACTGGATCCAATGATCATATTTATAAGGATAAAAAAACAAAACATATTTATATATGCATGTACTTGTTCCTACTCTCTGTTGGTGTGATGGGAGGAATAAGGTAATTCGGTCCAACATTTTGGGGGAGAACACAGAAATCCTCGATGAGATGAAATATGGAAACTCAAGGAAGATTTTGTTCATGAGTTATTTTAAATAATGAAGGGGGAGGGGAGATCTGCTGGTTCCACTGTACGACAGGGAGGCAGCAGCAGGCAGGCGGCTCCGCTAACAGACCCTCCAACAATACTGTTTTTAAGTCTTGTGCTCCCCCTTCCTCCCACCTCCATCAGAGCGGCTGTGCCTCATTGTTGTGCTTGAAACAACTTCACATTGTCAATCTAAAGTCTTTATTTCAAAGCAACGAAAGAAAAAAAAATGGCTAGAGTAACAGACTGTTATTTGCAACGTTGTGCAATTACGACCTCTGACAAAACTCTAATGACAAATGATTTTTAGGGATTCAAAAGAACTGACAGACAAAAACACCTTATTGGAGACAACATATCTATTAAAATTCTTTTCTATGGTCACTGTTGAGTAAGCTTATGTAGCAAGTTGCCCGGGCCTTCAGTGTGGACGCGAATCAATCGCTATATCGATCCAGGTTATCCAAAATGAAACATAACATTGCTGCTGGGAGCGAAAGGTGCTTGTGTGCTACTTTCATAAAATTAAGTTAAAACCCCCCTCGAACACGGTTCGCTTAGTGACACCAATTCATCTAATCTCCTTCCATTCCCTAAGCTGCAGCAATGAAAAGTGCATTAGCATTCTGCCTTGGTGTGTATATCTAAGTGGCTTAAAAAGTGATTTGAAGTTGATTTGTATATAAAAGGCCCCCTTTATCCGGATTGAAGCTCTAATCTGCTCGGTGTCGCATGACTGCTCCAGGAAACCCGTTTGAGCAAATTCATATAAGGCTCGGGTAAAAACGTAGGGTGGCTGTCATTAAAGCCTTTTTCTCTCTCTTTTTTTTAAAGCCTACTTCCTTTTACTGTCATCTGAGGGAGAGACAGAGAGGTGCAGAGGAAGGGGGAGAGATTACTCAACCTACAACCTCTGCAATGACTAATGTGGAATATGCAAATTAGCAGATAAATGTCACAAAATGAACCAATATGGAGAAGTTTGGGGACATTTAAGCTTGCTCCTAGTCTGGGGTTTGATGGAGATGCCGCAAAGTGGCTCAAGCTGTGATTACTCTGGGTTACATTGCGTCGAGGGAGGTCTGCAAGCCAGATGTTTGGACTGGTTTTTATCCTTAGTCGTCCCCCTCTTTTCCTGGTTCATCATACATCAAACTTCTGATTGGAGGCCATATTTCATGTCTTCCGTGTTTGAAAAATATTTAAGTAGCCCAGCAGGCAGTGTGAGTTATAGGACAATTACGAGCTTATTATTGCTTCTGCAAGCATTCACGTTTCGCTGTGCGTGTGCGCGTTCGCTCTTAGATGATAAAGACGGCTGATAACACGTTTTATTGAGAAGAAAGTAACCTTAAGGGATAACATTCACTTTTAAAAATACATATATATTATTTACATGTAATAATGAATAAACTCGATCTGTAAGTGTGAAAAAAGAACATGTGCAGAAATGGCCTTAGTCACTGCACATTTTGAGAGCGCATTTGGAGAGAGGAGGAGATGCGGTTAGGGAGTAGGCTAATCCAACCACCGGGTAAAAAGGGCAGTTTCAGATGGCTCATATTGCGCTGTAACTATACTGTACCGTGACACCAGCTTTGAGCAGCGGCGAAGCACCAAAGCGGGCGCACCCACAGCATCTGTACCAACTCATCACTGCTCCAGGGCTCCGGGGGAACTTCTCTCAGCAAGACTGGATGCGGAGGCTAGCTGCGCGGTCACTGAAAGGGGAAGAAAATACTTTCAGCCGTACACGTTTACAGGGAATCGATTCTGTGATGACCGTGAGATTCCACAATATGCGTAACACCGTGGACTGCCCTGCTTTTCTCTCCCTCTCTCTCCCTTCCTTTCTTTTTTCTGCTCAGTTGTTTCCTTATTCATTGTGCGCCCTATGAAGAGCATTAACTATCCCTCCCTCCAATCCTATTGAAAAGGCTCCGAAAAAAAAAA